ATAATAATAATAATCATAATAATAATGATGATCATAGTAATTCAATAATAATGATGATCATACTAATGATGATATCAGAATATTTAAATTCAATAGTAATGATGATCATCATATTCAATAACTAGCTAACTAGCCATCCAGAGTCCATCGTGGGACCAGAAATTCCAAGCGTCTCTTGGGCGTCTTCTCTTGCTTCCGAAAGCTCTCTGGACTCCTCGAGGATGGCCATTGGGTTTTTACGATCAAATCAATGGATTGGTGGGAAATTTTACAGGAAAACACCATGATCTTCATGGGAAAACCCATGGTTTCCGGTTAAGATTTTCCCCAAGAAACCAATCCATTGATCAAATATACTGGGCTTTCCGGTTTCAATGTTCCCATCATCCAATTCTATGAGACCTGCCGGTACTGTAAGCCAAACCATATGTGTTTTTTTTGGACCTTTTATTAATGGCGACCTGAAAGCAATTCCCAACGTCCACTCCTCTTTGGAAATTGTCGAGATCTGTTCCATTGCATCCTCACGGGCCTGTCGAACAGGAGATCATCGGGCTTCTGAAACACTGCCAGTTGATCGAAAAAAGGGAAGAAAAAGATCCGTCCCTGCCGAAAAATCATCTAAAATCATCTAATCATATAATTAATTCCAAGAGTTCCCCAAGAAAAAGTCGGAAGCAGACTGTTTCTGGAATGTCTTTTTTGGAGCCACAAGAAATTCCCTCGGTTCCAAAAAATCTTGGACCGCCGGGCCCAAACTGGCAATCCCAACATGATCCGAACCTTGAGACTGGACACTTTGGGCGTCACTGGCGTCACTCCTCAGCAGTGCTGACGGCTTCGCCGTCCGCGGATGGCGTTCCGAAGGGTGCCATTCGGCGTTCCCAGCAGGTAGCAATGGGATGGGATTTCTCAAACATACTGTGGATGGGCCAGCGAAATCCTGCACCAGCCTGAGTGGTTGAAACATGTTGAAACCCAAACAAAACAATGGGATAAACCACCTATCAACTGGTGCAGGATTTCTTTCATCCACTGCAATTTCTCTCAAACGAATCCTGGGAATCCTAGTGGTGCGGTGCCCCGTGTAGCTATCGTTCAAAATTCATCAACCCAAGTTCCAAAAATGACGGTTTTTCGTCATGGTGCCATGGTGCTAAACATTTTGGTGGTCTCCCAACTGCATATTTCAGACCCAGGCACCAGAGAGAAGAGAGTCATTGGTGGCAGCCGAGAAGGCCTTCTCTGAAAACAGGGATTGTTTGAAATAGGAATGTTTCAGGTACCTAAACTGGAGGTACTGTACCTACCATATAAGCCATATTTGGGGAATAGGTCCCCTTATATAGCCCTTACATAAACCCTATATACTATATGTGGTAGGTACCTGCAATTTAGGTTCCTGAAATGGCCGGGATATTTGAGCACCATATCATGGGGATATAATAGGAGAATCGGGGGATAATATGGGGAGGTCTAGCATATCATGCATCCAAAAATAGGATCCAAAAAATAGGGAGATATAATCTATATGTAAGACATATAACCAATAGGTAAACATCTCTCAGTGGGGCTTAGCAAGAAATACAAGGCGGGGCCCCGAAACGATGGGTAAGTTGGTTTACAAACGATTAGGTTTATGGAAGATGCAGCCGGAACTGGTTAATGGAAGTTATAAACCAACATCCACAACTCAAGGGCACCACCTGTTGTGAAATTTGATTTTAGCCACAGCAAACTGGTGATTGAACCAGTGGCTAAACCCTGGGAAATTGAAAAAGGACCCGCTAAAATGGGAATGCAACCCATGAAAATATAGAATGTCATCAAGCAGGAATATAGCAAGAGAAGACAACAATGAGGCCTGCCACCGCAGGTTTTTGTCATGGGGCGAACTAGCTAGTCCTTTCTCGGACTGCATAGATGCAGAGGCCAACCTGATTCGTTGGGTCACCATCCACCATGTATTTCTTATGTTCTCTGCGGGGAAACCAGTAGCTATAATGTCTATTATATGTATATAGGTACATATCTATATATATATATTCGTATGTTAGTTTGCAAATCCCCAACTTTGGGGCATGCCCATTGGTATTACTTCCATGCTTGGTCTGCCACTCGCTGAAAAAAGGATACATCATGATTGCACCACCAAGATCCAACATGGAAGCCCTTGAATCCATTTGCGAGGATTCCGTTTTAGCCTAAAATGAAAGTCAGTGTCAGGGCTACCTTTTTGATCCTTTTTGCTAAGCTTAAATAACATGTTGTTCTAACCTTCACAGGTTTAACCTTGGATGATGCTTTCCAATCTAGTGCTACGTGTTCCCGAAGGGCAAGAGTTACCAAAAGGAAATCAGCAGTTTTCAGCAGCCAACCCTTTTCATTGATCTTCAGGAGAAAGTGAAAAAACATCAATAGAAGTTCCATCAAATTCCAGTCTTCTGATTATTTAAGTTTATATCCTCTACAAACCGCCTAGAAACATGGCTCTGGAAGATGATGTTCCGTGGCCAAAACTTCATGGCCGTTTGCGGCTGAAATCCCTGGCTTTTCCTCCCAAGCTTCCTGAAATCCGATCACAACATCAGCGTTTCTGGGTTAAATCCCATGCCAAATCCCAAGGGTTTCTTGTTGCCAAATCCCATTGAAAAGAAATAAAGCCCCACAACTTTCAAACGAACTGAAAATCACGGTGAAATACCAAGATTGGCCATTGTGATCACTCCCTTTTTGAAATACGGTTTCCACCAAATCCAATCCCAAAATCACCACGCGGAATTGTGACCACGCCTCCAGGAGCCGATTTTGGGGGCGTTCCGCCGAATGCAGCCGCAGGATGATCCACGTGATCCACGTGCACAAGTTGAGTGGTCTCATCCTGGGGAAAAAACTTCAGTGCAAGTTGGGACACCAACTAAAAAGGGATGTTGGAATAGTTGGATGTTAGGCCCAGGGAATGGGAATGTTGCTGAGTGTTAGGATGTTGGGATGGGTCTGGATGTTCACCAACTATTCTTGGGTGGAATAGTTGGATTCGTTGGGAATGTCATCCCTAGAGATCTCCAGTGACTCCACCGGAATTCCCAGAATGGGATAACGATGTCTTATCGGAATTTCTATCAAAACAGCGAGTGGGAAATGTCCGGTTTTTGGCGTTTTTGAACATATCCTCTTGTTTTGTTGGATCATGTGAAAAATCAGTACACTTACCAACCCCTGAGTTGACATGATTTAACTGACAAAAGTTGGGAGTTTAAGTCTTGACAGTCTCTCTGGATTGAGCATTCTTTTCTGCGCTGTCCGGACCGATTCGCCAATTGGACAGATCGCAGAGCGAAAGAATCTTCAAGATACGATGCAGTGTCTACAGTACTGCACAGCGCATCCCAAGACGGAAGCAGATGGATCCAATCACCACTTGGAGGGATCATTTTTTCAATTTATTCATATTTGCCACTTGATAAAGACTGAAAGTTGGATATCATGGATCCTCCCAAGTTCCGTGGGAGCCGATGGGCATCGAATATTCGTCGAGAATCCAAGCTCTGCCACAACACAATGTGGCAGCTTCAAAATTGTACTGGCACTGGCGCATTGAGCCACATTCAGCGGCACAAACTGCCCTCCAGCCCTGCAGCCCTCGAGCCAGCTCGTTTCTCCTGCGCTCAGAGGACCATGTTCAGCCCAGACGGCAGCGCAGCACTTCAACCTCTCGTTCGAGCAAATCCCATGTGCTGCACAGCGCATCCCAAGACGAATATCTTTGAGAATCCGAGCTCTGCCACAACACAGCGCAACAAGCGAGCCTCGACGGAATTGGAGCCAAAGTCTGCAAAAACCAGCGATATCAAAGAAATGTTAGGAAAGAGCATTAGAATCGTTGAGAATACTCAAAATGCCCCAATTGATTCAATCAATGAGAATCGTTGGAACACCTTGATGCCGTTGCAACCAGTCTGAAACTGCAACCCGAGGCACAAATTCAATTGAGATCATAGTTTTACCATTCTGAAAATGGATGAATACATATGGATACTCACAAGTCAGTTGAAACCCAGAACCAACCAGCTGTAACTTCAAGGCACATGTTGTGGCGGCTTCAAAAATGTACTGGCACATTGAGCCACATTCAGCGGCGCAAACTGCCCTCCAGCCCTGCAGCCCTCGCCACAAGACAGCGCAACAAGCGAGCCTCGAAGACCAGGAATTGGAGCCAAAGTCTGGACAACCAGCGATATCAAAGAAATGTTAGGAAGAAAGTATGAGAATCGTTGAGAATACTCAAAATGCCCCAATTGATTCAATCAATGAGAATCGTTGGAACACCTTGATGCCGTTGCAACCAGTCTGAAACTGCAACCTGGGGGCACAAATTCAATTGAGATCATAGTTTTACCATTCTGAAAATGGATGAATACATATGGATACTCACAAGTCAGTCGAAACCCAGCAATCTCAAATGCATACAACCAGTCGCTCACGAGAAGGTTGTCTTTTTTGTACCGCACTTGCAACAGATGTATATTCAGATGTGTGTATGTGTATGTGTGTATGTATGTATGTATGTATGTATGTATGTATGTATGTATGTATGTATGTATGTATGTATGTATGTATGTATGTATGTATGTATGTATGTATGTATGTATATGTGTATGTACAAATATAAATATATATATATACAAAATCATACATACATACTGGGTTGAACCGACTTCCCCTTCCAGCATCTCAATGATGTTGGTAGCTTCAATCTGGGCCACTTCAATAGAACGACGAACATGAGGCAAGAGCACCGCCAGAAGTTCGCCTGTCTCCTCAAAAACACAAAAAAACAAACAAAAAAATGAAAATCCTCCAGGAATATTTTCTGGGTGAAGGGTGAAGGGTGTAGAGTGGAAGCTGATAAGCGAAAACGTGCAATCTCAATGCATGCATACACTTTCACCAGTCGCTCACGAGAAGGTTCGTCTTTTTTGTACCGCACTTGCAACAGATGTATATTCAGATGTGTGTATGTGTATGTGTGTATGTATGTATGTATGTATGTATGTATGTATGTATGTATGTATGTATGTATGTATGTATGTATGTATGTATGTA